GGCCATATACTGTAAATCCTTTATTAACCAAGCTTGTTCAGTCAAGATAAGTGGATATAAAAAAGGACTTGGTCAATACTCAACCCCTTGACCTGATGCTTGGTCAATAACGCTTTGTCCATGGCTGATACTGCCGGGGTTATATGGCTGTGCGCAAGCAGTCAAGCGGTCTTGGTTCACGTGTTAGTACAGTTAGTCACTTTTGAGTGTGCTCAATAGACCTCTCTGGAACTACTGGGCTAGGGACTGTTAACGTGCCGCTTCGTTAGAGGAGAACAAAAAGCGCTACAAAAGGCTATGGCTAGAAATATGATTATAGCAAATTCTCTTGACTATTATCAGATCTTCAAGGACAGTATAATAATAGTAAGTATAATAATAATTATAATAAAAGTAAATTATAATTATCATAAGTAAACTCCCAGAATCCTTTGAGGTAATTTTTATACGTAGAAGGCCGTCAGACCACAAAAAGAGAACATTTGCCATAAAATATCTTCCCATGTCACATCTAAGGTAATGACATCATCAGTCAGTTTTGGCTATTTCCGAATAAAGTTTTTTGTAGCCTGCGCCGTAGACACTCTAAACCATCTGTATAGAGCGTCTGCAAATTAGTGCACAATATCGTCTTCTAATCCTGCAGAGTCGCAAGGACATATGTCGGCGTTATTGATTGGCTAGTATCTTACGCAGTTTGTGATTAGTTCGATTTGAATTAAGTGTTGACAGGCCAAACTCAACTCATAGCTCGTGACAAGAGAGAATGAACTCGTGATAGTGTGAAACGTGACCTTAGAGTCAGCTTGAACAACGGAGGTTTTTCTGCTTTCTCTCTTATAGCGTAGATTATGCAGTGCATAGAGTATTCTAAACTTTGACTCAGCAAATCTTATTTTTGCCGCTTTGAGTCTATGAAGCTGGTTAGTTTGAAATGCCTGGACCTGAATAGCGACGTGCAGTGTGTGTATTTTTTGGCTGATTATGATTTCCTGATTTGTTTTGATGCTAGAACTGTCAGCTAGATTAGAGAATACGCGGCAATGCATCTGCAGCGATTGCAAGAAACTGGAAAACCATTCGGCAAATTTACAAACACATTTTGGCGTCGAAGGAATTCTTTCAAAACATATTTTTTGTTCAGAAGAAGGCTTCCAATTCGAACTGCTCTTTCATTGTTTATCTTCACTAGTCTGCACCCAACCGTCACACAAACGTTAGAATTAGGCCAATCGTGAGACGCATAAAAAACCCACCTATCAGAAAAGCTCACATATATCCTTGCGACTTTGCGCGATCGATAGTTCATAACTTTGATAAAAGTTCCCCGGCATGGACCAAGCTTGAAAGAGTATTAATGGGTTTATTTTGAGCTTTTCGTCTAGCTTCGATCAGTTTAAGACTTAATTTTACACGGAAATTAAAAAAAAAAAAACGAAAAAGTCATCCTCGAAAACTGTCAATCACCACAGGGAAGGAAAAATATATACCTCTTTTAAACTTGAAATATTTTAGCTTTTACCGAGGTGGTCCAGTGGATAGAGGCGTTAACTTTTAGTTCTTACTGATTCTGAGGGTCCGAATCCCCTTGAAGCAAATTTCTTGTAACCTTATTATTTTTTTCTTTTCAGTTAAAATCTCTTTTTACCGTCTCTTTTTTACCTGTGTGGTGCATATAGCTAGTAACATAATGTGGTAGATTAAAAGCAAAGTTTACAGGAATATAAAAAAGGTGGTCTGTATCATAGCGAATCTACCGGTATTTTTAGTAAATAAATACTGGACACTGTTATCATGCATCACCCAGCTTAATCGTCGATTTAATTTTCAATTTTAGCAAAAATCACGCACGTAGAAGGCAGAAATAGAGAGATACAGATAAGTTCTATATTTAGATAAGACCTTAAAGTCTGCAAATATTTTGTCAGAAGTCATCGCGTGGTCTTGTTTGTAAGGTTTAAGATAGCGCGGTGAATAAAATACTTAGTCTAGTCGATTTGCTTTGGAAATGATTTTCTTCTCTCAATCACCTGAAATGAAAGCTTTAAAATGTATAAAACTCGATGGACTTTTTTCTCTTTGCTCTACCTGAACAATGAATTGAGGCGTAGCTGATTCCTTTTGGGTTTTGAAGCAGTGTGCAAAGTCCTGCTTGCATGTTACCGGATCGATCCCCTCCGTTCAAGCATTTCTGGTCAAAACAAAAGTCTGAACATGACCTTTCATCTGAAGAAAAAATACCGAAAAAGAGCAAATATTAACAGAGAATTATTTCGACCGAAGTAAGAGCCGTAACGGTTATATATCTGACTCTATTTATTTTTTTAAATTCTGTTTTATCAAACGGAGTAGCTGTTTTATGATATTTTTGCGCTCTGATTCCAGAGACACTAGATTTCAAAGGCTTACGACAATTCCTCTGTAAGCTTTGGGCAAGTTCGATTGATATAGCAGTGAGATAAATGTTTTAACTATGAATGTTTAATGTTTGCTTTCGGGATCACGAGTTTTGAACATGATCGATCGAATTGACATATAAAATCATAAATGTAATATTTCTAATCCATTCCCTCGCGAGGGATAATTTACGACAAAATCAGTCAGAACAATCACTGAAGATATCGGTTTGTCTATATGCTTCGAAAAAACGAAAATTCAAAAAAAAAAACAAGGCCAAAAACAGTCATTTTTGGAGATAAATTTTGAAACTAATATCTGTAGTATTAAATAGA